AATATATAGACCTTTTTCTTCAGCTTTTGGCCCTTGGGAAAAACCATATACAGAAGATTTGTCCCACTTGGGGAAACAATTCTCTCCCTTTTCATGGCCAGAATTATTTGATACTTTCTCTTAGCTGATATAAGACTATATGTAGAAGATCAAAAGAACTGTACTAAAATTATAAATCTGGAGAAAGAAGCATAGAACCCTATGTTAGAACGATTATATACCATGTAGTGTAAAACTATCATTTTGAAGAAGAAATGGGACAATCTGGACAAGTGACTCACCGAAGTCCACCTCATGATTCTATTTTTAAAAACTAATATCTAGCACTGTCTATGTACAAGCAGGCACTGCTCTAATTGTCTTATAGATATTAATACATTGAATCATCCTAACAACCCTGTGTAATAAACCATCAGCAACTTATGTAGTTTTGCATATTGAATAATTATTATTCTCAATAATATAAATGAGAAAACTAAGGCATAGAATCCTTTGATAACTTAGTCAAGATCACACAGACAGTAAGTAGTGAAGTTAGGATATGAGCTAGTTAGGAAAGCTGTTACAGAAAAACAAGGCCACTTAAAACATTTCGTTCCGCTCAGGAGTTTTCTTGTGTTTCGCGCGCCATCTGTTAAGGACCGCTCACAAGTGTTCTCGTTTTTCACGCCCATGGAAAAACGAGCGAATCTAGATACTTATGTAAATTTTGTTTGGTCCTTCTTCACAGAGGAAAATGTTTTATGCAGTACCATACGTTAAAAAAGTACTAGGAACTTTAATTGTTTAATTGTTTTTGTAAGTAGAAATGTTATAATTATTTGAAAATAACACATAAAGTGCATTATGATGATTTAAATAATGTGTAGTTTGCCCAAAAACATGCGGTCCCTGGCGTATGTCTTAGAGATTTCTATGGGGTACGCAATGTGTTAAGACTTTATTTTCAAGCCCCACACACATCATAACAAGCAACAAATCATATGCCTCATTAAGTATAATTCATACGAAACTATATAAGAACTGAGCTAAAAGTTTAGTTGTGTTTACCTAATTAGCATAATGCAGGTCTATAACCCCTTACCCAAAACATGGGGTCTAGATCAGTGGTTTCCAACGTGGGACACACACCCCACAGGGGAGTCAATTTGATTTTTAAGGGGGACAATTTGAGAATGAGTTATTAACAGTGAATTTTTTGCATTTCTTATGGACTAGGGACCTCATATACAGTATATGACTATGTATTGTGACACATTTATGCATTTCAGTACTCTATTATAATGTTTTGAAACTTATTTGCTTTTCATATCACTTCATATTATTTTTTAAACAATTTTTTAGTGATTTCTTCCTCAGTACTTCAACTGTCCTTTCATTCTTTTATTTTCTCTTTCATGGATGCCATGTTCCTTGGAAGCTTGTTTAGACCAAGTTAATGGCCTTTTAGGATTCCTCCATGTGAACAGGAGTTTGCTTTTGAATAATAAGAATTATATGTCACAGGGGGGCATCAGGATTTTAGAGATGTTTAGGTGGGGCATGGCCAAAAAAAAAGGTTGGGAACCACTGGTCTAGATGTATTTTGGAATGCAGAATCTTTCAGGTTTTACAAAGGTAATATTGCCCTGGCTGGTTTTCTCAGTGATTAGAGCATTGGCCCTCGGACAGAACAGTCACAGGTTCGATTCCCAGTCTGGGGGAGGGGGTTAGACTGAGAAATGGAATAGGTGGAGATATTGAGACATTGCTGCCTCTCAGTGATTTCTCTTTCCTTCTTGTTTGTTTCTCCCAAATAGAACCAAGAATGATGATCGATCAGCTCAATCCCATGGTGCACACTCAAGGTAAATGAGCCTGGCCAGGGTAACTCGGCAGTTGAGTGTTGACCCAGAAACCATTAGGTCGCTGGTTCAATTCTGGGTCAGGGCACATGCCCAGGTTACAGACTAAATCCCCAGTAGAGGCTGTGCAGACTCTCTCTCATCAAAGTTTCTATCTATCCCTCTTCCTTTCTCTCTTTCTAAAAATCAATGAAAATACTTATGTGTTTTTTTAAAGAAGGTAAACCTTTAGTTGTGGAATAAATTTAAAAGCGACTGGTTAGTACAGATCTGCTCAGTGGCCTCATTCATGCTGTTTAGACGACATGGGGAAAGAGAAAGGGTGCTGAGGGTGGTGAACATCTACAGGGAAGCTCAGATTGGGCCATGGGTCCCTCCTCCGTAGATGACCCCTTCCTCCTGCCTGTCCTGGAGAAGGCTCACCTACCAGAGAGGGTGCTCTCTGATGCTTCCTGCAAATGCTGTCGAGGAGGAAAACACGCCCTTTGACCCCTGTGCCTGCTCACCCTCCCCAGTACTTTGGAGGGAAGGAGGAACGGAAATAGTCTTTTCTAAAGACTGCCTTTTCTCTTCCTATAGGCGCTCACCGTCCTGCTGACTGCTGCCTGTTCTATACCTCACAAAAAATCCGATGCAGATTCATGGAAAGTTACTTTGTAACAACCAGTGGGTGCTCCCAGCCTGCTGTCATGTAAGTGCCAAGCATGCCTGCCATATCTTGGGAGGAGGGACCTGATGATGGATGGATGCCCATAAAAGTCACATCCTCTGGATCCTTCAAGGTCAAGGGAGGCTGTGTCCTCATTCTTATCCTGATCCTGCAGAGCATCAGATATGAGATGTTCCCATTGAAGATGAAAGCTAGGAAAGGAAGGAGAGAGCAGTTGCAGGTCTCCACCAGGAAACTCCCATGAGTCACTAAGGAAGTCTCACAGGCTAACGGAGCATCTCAGAGATGAGACACCCTGAGTGCCTGCAGTAGAGAAAGGAACAAGCTGGGCTGGAAGG